ATAAAATATCTTACAATATTAAAAATACTAACATCTTCCAATGAGGAAGCAGAGCCTGAGGGCTCCGGCTCGGATTCTCCCATTTCTAGTGCTGAGGTTGCCAAGGTGATTTAAAAGCTCCTCGGTTGCAAGGCCCCAGGGGTGGAAGAGATTTGCCCTATGTATCTTTATGCTCTGGATGTTGTGGTACTGTATTGTTTAACATGAGGCATCAGGCAGATCCTCTGGATTGGCAGACTGCGGTGGTGGTCCCTCTATTTAGAAACGGGGACCAGAGGGTGTGTTCCAACTACAGAGGAATCATACTCAGAAGCCTCCCTGGTCTATTCTGGGTTCTGGTCCGTCTGTAAGTCGAATCTCAGATTCAGGAGGAGCAGTGAGGTTTTCATGGAACAGTGGATCAGCTCTACACCCTCAGCAGGATTCTGGAGGGTGCATGGGAGTTTGCCCAAACAGTCTACATGTGTTTTGTGGATCTAGAGAAGGCCTTCGACCGTGTCCCTCGGGAGGTCCTGTGGGGGGTATGCAGGGAGTATAGAGTAGCGGGTCCTTTAATAAGGGCTGTTAGGTCTTTGTCGGAGCCTGGTCTGCATTAACAGTAAGCCAGACTCATTTCGGGGGAGAGTTGGACTCCGCGAAGGTTACTTTACTTTGCTTTGGGCTTTGTCACCAATTCCGTTCACAACGTTTGTGGACAGAATTTTTAGGCGCATCCAAGGTGTTGTGCGGATCCAATTTGGTGGCCTGATATTTGTGATTGGCTTCATCAGAGCGTGATCTACAGCCTCTCACCGGAAAGGTTCTCAGCCAAGTATGAAGCCACCGGGATTAGGATAAGTGCCTCCAAATCGGACATCATGGTATTGAGGCAGAAAACGGTAGAGTGCTTTCTTCCGGGTTGGGGAGGATATACTGCTCCTCAAGGAGGAGTTTAAGTATCTTGGGTTTTGTTCATAAAATGAGAGGAAGATGGAGCGGGAGACCGACAGGTGGATTTGTGTGGCATCCTCTGTGAAGCAGACGCTATACTTGTCCATTGTGGTAAAGAAAGAGCTCAGCCAAAAGACAAAGCTCTCGATTTAGGTCGATCTAGGTTCCTACTCTCATCTATGTTCATGAGTTTTGGGTCATAACCAAGAACGAGAATGAGAGCTTGGATACAAGCCACCAAAAAGAGTTTTCTCCATTGTGTGTCTGGAGTTTCTCTTACAGATAGGGTGAGGAAGGCATCCAGGCAGTACTCAGAGTAGAGCCCCTGCTTCTCCACGTAAAGAGGAGCTAGTTAAGGTGGCTCAGGCATCTGGTTAAGATGCCTCCTGGATGCCTCCCTGGTGAGGTGATCCGGGCAGGTCCCATCGGGAGGAGATCCAGTAAGAGACCCCGGACAGCCTGGAGGGATTATGTGTCTTGGCTGGCATTGGAACGCCTTGGGATTCCCCTGGAGCAGCTGGCCCAAGTTGCTGGGGAGAGCGATCTCTTGGCCTCCCTACTGAAGCTGCTAGCTGCACGACCCGACCCCGGATAAGCCGAGAAGATGGATGGATGGATTAAAAATACTAAGGGGGGCAATAGAAGAATCCAAACAAACAGAACAATATTTATATTCATTGGAATCAAACTCAACTTGTGTTAAAGAATATTTTTTTTTAATTGGACTTTCTCATCTAATAGTTTGTTATCTCACAATTTCTTCAAAAAAAGACATCAAGCCATTCTCTATGAGAAATCATGTAAACAAGTTGCATTAATCTCACATATCTCTTATCAAGACAGCTCTTGGGTTTCATAACAGTCTCCAGACCTCTGAAAATCACCTATCTACCTAAATTAGTCTTATAACCCCTTTTGTTAGCAGAATCTATCACAACTTTGCTCAGCATGTGGTCATCATCTTTGTTTGGATTGTTTTTAGTATTACATTTAGTTATAATGTAGAAAGCATGAGAGTGAGCACCCTGATCCTTCTTTTTTAATCTGTGCAGAGAGAGTCACATATGGCTCATTTTACCAGCACAAGGGCTCACCTCCAACTGCCAGAGCACCAATCATGGCAGAGGTTTAATGTGTTTATTGAAATACACAGTGAGTGCATTACCACTCAAGTTCTACATCTGTTTGAGAGGAAGATTGTATTTTCTAAAGTGCATAATGTTTGTTCAATTGCTGTTTTTACCTGAGTTTGAACTCCGTCCAGTGGGGTTTGCTGAAGAACTTTACTCCCTGCCCTTCCCATGTTGCTGTGGCAGGAGATATTGCCTGAAAAGCAAAAAGAAATAAGAAAAAATGTCACTGCACTGACACTAAGGTGCAACCTTTTTCACGTACAATATACAATAAATTTATTTTGCAGCTGATTAAGCAGCATATTTTCTGGAGTAGTGTTAATAATTTTGCTCTTATATTTCTGTATATTTGTTCTCCAACTTTTTCCACTCAAGAAAATTTCCACTATTATGGATGACAAAACATGACATTCCTATCTTTTGCCATCTTGTGAAACAAACAGTTTACCACCATAGTAAAATAAAATAAAGAAAACCAAGCCAAATCAAAGGCACACTCTTCTCTGCTAATTATGGTGCATTATGTTTCAGGTGATGCAGTTTTGAATAGGGTGGATTTCCATATTGTTTGAAAAAAAAAAAAAAGATCAAGTCAGCTCAATAAAATCTTTGCACTTAATTTGCTCACCTTTCAGAATAATCAGTCTTAAATTGTATCCTTAGTTCCAACACAGGGTTTAAAGCCTCTTCTCTGTGATCTTTGAGCAAGTTTAATGTCCTGCTGTCACACTTTGTCATCTATTTTTTACCATCTGGTAACTGTGGATCTATGTAGTTCAATAAAGGTACGCCAAGAGAGAATTAAAAAAATACAAATCTTGGAAAGTACAATTGTACATATTCCGTCAAGACAAAAAAATGTTTTTGAAAAGGCCCCTCTCAAATTTAGAAATAAATGTGACAGAAAATCGAGGTCTGCTTAAGACTGCTGTGAGAGATTTCTCCACAAATCTGATCTAGTTAGACCAATTTTGCATGCTGGAGTGGGCAAATATGAACAAGTTAAGACTTGGCATTCTGATTGACTCATACCACAACAGCCTGAATGCTAAAATTGAATAAAACGTTTTTTAGCATGTCCAAATTTAATGGTGTGCACAGACTTGCAATGAGGCTATTACATTTTTGTTCCTTTTGAAACATTTATTGTCTTTTCACAGGAAGGAAGGATTATTCATAAAGCACATTTCAGCAACAAAACAATTCAAAGTAGTGCATATAAGAGGAAAACAGACTGAGGAAAGTATAATCCAAGATAAATAAAGAAGAGTAAAATAACTGCTAATAAATGGAAAGAAAGCTGGACTCTAAACTTTCTAAAGTCAGAAAACACAAAGTTAAAGGCCATTCTAAAAACGTTTTTAAGGTTTCAGCACTGTGCGAGCTTAAATAATTGACAAAGACTGCTGGATAGGTGTTGAAACCTTCTCAGAAAAACTGAAAGAAAGTCGGGTTGCCTGCTTTGTGGTTGCCGTGACCCAGATGACTTGAAATGTACACAGGCACTCAGCATTTCTACAGTTTTCTGGAGAGTTATTTCAGATTAGCGGAGCATAAGAATTAAAAGCTGCTTCCCCATGTTTGATTCTGGTTCTGGGTATGCAAAGTAGATTAGAGGGAGGAGACCTGAGAGGTCTGGGCAGTTGATCCACTGACAAGTCTGTAATGTATAATGGTGCTAAGCCATTCAGTGATTTTTAGACCAAGAGAATTACTTTACAGTCTGTCATCTGAGATACAAGGAGTCAGTGGAGGGACTTGAGAAATGGGGGGATGTGCTCCACTTTCTTAGTTTTGGTAAGGATGTAGGTAGAAGTATTCTGGGGAAACTGCAGCTGTCAGATTTATTTTATTTTTTTAATAAAGACCAGGGAAGATAACATTGCAGAAATAAATTCTACTAAACATGAACCGATTTGAAATCGTTTTCAACACCTTTCTAGGACATTTCTCCTTTTTTCCTTTCTTTCTTAAAGCATGGTTTGTAGAACAAATGTCAGTTTATGATATAAAAGATATAATTTATATATACAATATATAAATATATATATAATATATATTATATAAAAATATAACTATTATGTCACAAAAACCTAGCATTTTAACAAAGGTGTTTAGGTTTTGATATTAATGCGACCAATGGCAAATGAGTTGCACATGTCTTTGTAAGAGATTTTGTACAAAAGGACAACACATTTTAAATATTTTTTTCCCAGATTTCAATTATTAAAAAGGAACAAGTTACATGGAGGGGAATAAATAACAAGACCATCTGCTAGTTGATAAAGCATTTTAACTGAGATTAGACATTTCTGCTTTCGAGCCCAAAGGTCAGAAACACATCAAAAAGCTGCTGCTGTTTGAAGTGTGTGGATGAAAAATCCTTTATTAATGCCCTTAAACAGAACATTGCTCAGTAGGGACAGACTTTTTTGCTTTAATTAAGGCTAAAGCAAGGTGATGGTAATGAGTTCACCTTTGCTTTCATGTGATTTTGAAAAGATTTAGATTTTATCTGAACTGTACTGAAAAGACATTAAACTTTAGAATCAATCATACTGTTAAACAGGATTAGATCACTGTCTCTTTTAAGCCTGTGGTTTGACAAAATATCAAGTTGTAATTTGCCTTTAATACCTGGTAAACAATCAATCTTTCCAGACAAACTTTGTAGAATATTAAGTCTGTGAAACACATTTAAAGTGCAAGCAGCTTTCAGTTGAAATAGTTGACTACAAGTTAGGGAAGCCCACTGAGTATTAATTAGACCTTTAGGTAGAGCCGTGGCCCAGTTGGTGCATGCTAAAGTGCCCTTACGGGTGCCAAAACATGTACCAAAATAACATCTTGTGATTCAAAACTTGTACTAAAGTGCCCTGCCGGGAGCCAAATCACATGTTCAATTACCACCCCCAGGGGTGAGAATCCTGCATATGTGACCTTTTTCCTATGACATCCCTGCCCTTCAAAAATTGTGCCCATGCCATTGTCTTTGGGGATCTAAAATAGGGGAGTGGTGGCCTAGTGGTTAGGGCATTGTGCTTGGATCCAAGAGGTTCTGAGTTCAAGCCCCAATCCCTGAGACTGCCACTCTGGGTACCTGATCAAGACCATTAATCCCTATACTGCTCCCCGGTCGCCACACAATGGCAGCCCACTGCTCCCCAAGGAGATTGGTTAAATGCAGAGAGTTCATTTCATTGCTCTGTACTTTTGACAGTATAATGATAATAAAAAAGCTAAAAAAGAGCAATTAATGAATGAATAAATGAAAATACAAGCTTTTAAATATTGCACAGGAACTTAGAGAAAGGATGGCTCTTTCAAGGGCACAGTTTCTGCCTCAATGTCAACCAAATCATTTTGTAAGCAACACGGGGGCACCTTTCAGCTGAGTAAAACAGTAGTTAAGAAAAACAATTTTTTCCCCTGATTTTTCTTACCAAGTCAAACCCAAACAAAAATATTATCGGTATGTATGAAACTTTTCCCAAAGCACAAACAGTAAAAGCAGTAACAGCGTAAAAAGTGGTAATTAGCAAGTAACATATAGTTCTTATTGATGTATCTTTTTTTTTGCTAATAAAGGGATACAGTTGTCTCATACATTGCATACATCAATAAAAGGGAGCTTTTCTAGTAATCAAAATTTACCTTAAAAGAGGAAACTGTGAAAGTAGTAAGCTGTAATACTCTGCTGTATCTTTCTTTCTCTCCCCCTCTCTCCTGTTTAGGAGGATTACTTTCATTGTGATTTTTAAGGTTGACCTAAATAGCAAGTCATAGAATGAAAACTCACTGCAGATTAATAGGTGGAAATGTTACAGAAACTTTTAATGAATCCCAGTCCAGAATGTTTGTGTGCACAACCCAAGCCTTAAAAAGTATGAAACAATTTATCATTGGTGTTTGATGTGTCAGTGTTTGTAAAACAACTTCGTGAAGTTTATTTCTTTTTATGTGCTTTCATTTTTAGAGGAATTATTTTGTGTTTGGGTTGCAAGACAATATACATCATTCATCAAAAGGTTTGGCCCAAACTTCACAAGCAAGCTTAGCCGAGAACAAAGGCCAGCAGGGAATAACAACTGCTTCTTCATGAGACGAAGTATGAGAGAGGTTTTAGGGATGGTTGGTTATTTTAGTTTTTAGTTATTCATTTTCTTTATTTTAATCTTAAAGATACATTTGTTACCATATTATAAAAACAACTATGAAGGCCTTTTTTGCCTCTACCCATAAACAAACTTTGTTGTAAATTGTTAAATGAAATTTTTGGAAGCAAATCCTAAGCCTCTTTCACACCACAATGTATCTTTTTTATCCTTCACCTATTACAAGTAAATTATTCACATTGTCCTCTTCCCTTTTAATCTCTTCCAATCTTTGTCTTTCAGAAATACCTAAACCTAGACCTTTCATGATAAATAATGTTGCTGGATCATACATTTTTCCAAGAAATTATTGTGATATACAATAATGACATTTTGTTTGAATCCAAAGAGTTCCAACACTGCAGTTGTTGCATCTAGCTTCGCAACCAATTTTATCTCAGTTTTTTTTCCAAATCTTAGCTAGTGTTTTTCTGGCTTGATACTCCTTAGTCACATGGATCTCTTCCTACACTGGCTGTGAAAAGGAAATGATCAGAAGAGAGGTGAGTGGCGAGTGACTCTCATGAATCCTGACACCAGTGCTGTTTGATTCATCACACCTGTCAGCTCTGCCCCATTCTTAGTTAGCCTCCATCAGATTCATCTGGTCTATATAACCAGCTCTCAAACTAGTTATGAGTGCCAGATTATTACAAGCCATTGGTGAGTAGCCTAGCATTCCTTTTACCTGTCTGCCTGCCTGATTCTGGCCTGATCCTGCCTCCTGATTCTCTGAGCTTGCCTGAACCCTATCGGGATTGTCATAGTGTGTTTTTGAATTTCTCTGACCTGTGCCCTGACCTTCCTACCAGTTTCTCCCCTTTGGTTCTCAGATCAATTGGTTATGTCTCTGACTCGCACTTGGATTCTCCTCTGGATCATCTCTGGATCTCTCTGTTTTGTCCCCTTGACCATTCTCCCTTTCTCTGCTCTCACAGATCTGACCCAATGCATTCCCCAGGACCAACGAGTAATTGTCAAAGAAGGATTCCTTCAAACCAACCTGGTCGGATTCA